AGATAAGAGAGAGAGAGAGAGAGAGAGAGAGAGATTAACATGTGTGTTTGTTGTAAGATTTGAGAGTAAGTAAAAAGACAACAAGCCTCCAATAACCCAGGCAAAGATTTAAAAGATGTTAAAATTATAAATCACCTAATCCAAAATAATTCACTATGGCAGCTTCTGGGTGGAATTCTACACCATAAGGCATAGCAGGTCCAGCCATCTTTTTGGCCAATTGGCATAGTGCATAAGGTATGTCCATGTGAGGGAGAGAAACGTTATAGCTCCTCTGCAGCAACACAAAAACATTCATTTTCACGAGAAATCCCAAAGGCTGAATTGAAATGTGATATGAGAACAAAATGATAACATAACACAAATTTAAGATAGAACAATCACAGCCCAACACAAACATGGGAAATTTTATGCTACCTCTCAAATTTTGATTTAGCAGGGTTTACCGTTAGATATTTGTTTAAGTTTATGATATCACTGTTTCGAAGTAATAAGTTTCTGCTTCTAAGGAAGCAACTGCACTAAACATTAATTCAGCACAGGAAAGGTATTAAGCTAAAATATTATTATTAGGGGGGTACAGGCTTATACAATGCGGCTATTAGTCATAAAATCACCAAAGGTTACACATGGATATATCATAACCAACAGAAACATGCAAACCCATTCACCATTGGTATGTAAACCACCATCAGCTTCTACAGTTACGTGACAGCCAGGTCCAGATATAATTAGACATCTCTAGTACTTCAAGATATACTTCCACAATTGTTATTTAATTGAGCATGATCAACGTATTAACAAGTTTCAGGCTAGTAAAAACATATTCATAAAAAATTATCTAAACATATTATAAGCGCAAGCTTTTGATACTCTTTTCTCCATGTGATCAATAATCCAAGCGATCTCGATATGCAGATATGAGCAATGAATCACGGAATGAATAAAACCAAGACTAAAACAAAATTAACCAATTGAAATATCAATCGAAGAAGGATTCAAGCAAGACCTTAGACCAGTCAAATTGCAAGCCAAGGGTACTCCATCTTAACTTACGGAGCAAAACAGAAGCAGACACAGACTTGCATGCATCTTTCCCATGTGTTTCACTCAGTTGCTGCTCGACAAACTTCCATTGGGGTTGACCCACATCTGCTTGAGTAACATCACTATACAAACAACAATCATCACGGATTTTATCTTCCAATACTAAAAACTTTGCTTCTTTAGCTGAAGCAAATAAATTCTCTATGGGTCCATAAATTGCATTGTGGTTTGTTCGATTAGGGGGTTGAGGAAAACTTGATAAACTTTCCCTTATCCATTGGCATTGCTCCTCCACGCTTAATGCAGCAGGAATGAAATAAAAACCTACATTTAGAATCAAAGTTAATTCTAATCAGGCATTACAAATATAAGACAGTACCCTTTGTAATAGAACAGCCACCATAACCTGGTCGACTTTCCAAGCAGAATATAGGACGATCAAAATCACAGTTTAGCTTGGAAACTCCATCTGGAAGTTCGCCATTTCGATTCTCTAAAATTGACCTGAAATCTACAACCTCTGACAACTCTACAGGCCTCGGTATCTTTTTCCTAAAATTAACAAAAGAGAGAGAAAATTACAAACAGCAGTGGCATCAGGTGTTCCAACAAAAAAAAAAAGAAAAAAAAAAAAGAAAAATGTAAACGTTCGACTACAAATGTATAAGCAAATTCACACTTTTTGGTGTTGTCGTAATATATTTTGTATTTCTTCTCAGCTTTGCGGAAAGCTGTTCTCTCCGTTTCTTCAGTGATTACATCTGATCGGTACATCATAAAGTGTTGATAATGGCAGTCAAAACACCGAAATCGAATTGGGAATCGGCACTTTTACTTTCCAGTCAAACAGAAATTTGTTACGGACATACGCAAGAAGAAACAACATATATAAAAAAAATTATGAACCCTAACTTGGATATAATTTAGGGTGTGTTTGGTTCAATGGAGGAGAAGGGAGTGGAGGGATTTTAACGGAAAGAAAGGGAGGAGAGGGAAAGGGAGGAGAGGGAAGGTGATGTAAAATAACTTTATCTTATTTGGATTTTGTTGGAGGAGAATAGAGAGAAAATGGTAAATTTTGTTTGGTAAGAAAATGAAAGGAGAGGAAAAATAATGTTAAAATGACAAATATATCCTTAATGAAATAAGATAAATAATAAAAAACAATTAAAAATAGAAACTAATTGATATTTTCACATTATCTGAAAACATTTATTATCCAAATCCCTCCAATTTTAGAGGGGAGGCCTCCAATTTTGAAGGGGAGGGAAAGTGAGGGAGGGAAGAAAATTTACTTAAAATTTTCCTCTCCCTTCCTTCCTAATTTTCCAATCAAACAAGGAAAAAATAAAATTCTCCATCCCTTCCTCTCCCCTCCCCTCCCCTCCAAATTCCTGAAACCAAACAATACCTTAGATAGGAGTAGCTATTTTCATCGATCTCAAGAGGGAATAAGTTTTACACACCACCAATAAAAAAAAAATTCATTTTTTACCATATAAAATGCGAAATCAATTATACGCTCATCTAAGAGAATTGATAAAATGCAAAATAATGCGATAATTTATGCGACATACAGACGGAGATAATTGAAAAACTACAAAACAATTATGCGATCAACTATGACACAAACAATTGATAAACTACGAAACAGTTATGCGATCAACCTGACACAAACTGTAACGCCCCATTTTATTTTAAAGCATTTACCAAATTTATTTAATAAAAATCAGGGTTATTTATTTATTTATTTATTTTAAATCCAAGTTAAAACATTTATCGAGAAACGGGCGCTACTTACTAACCACAACAAATGAACACACCCAATCAATCAATTCAATGAACCTACACATGCTCAAACTGTCAAAATAACAATCTCAAATAATCATAAATTTCAAAATCATTCCCAAACGACTAGCATGAAATGAAGGTTCAAACGAAATCCAACATAGTTAAAAAATGACGAAATAAATAATCCAAAGTACGATAGCAAATAAATAAATAACAAGTTCATGCGGAAGCATAAGATTTCAACACATAATGACCACCATCTCGCTCGTCCTACACCACCGCCTCCAGCTCGTCTCAACCTAGAACAAAAGAAGAGAGAAGACAACAAAGAAAATAAAGGGGGTGAGCATAACCAACAAGCTCACCATTATCGCACAGTATATCTCGCATAACATTTTAAACCATCATAACCATAGTATTCAGTATGCATAGAATCCAACAGTCTGACTCCCTACTTGGCCCTATCGCAAACCTCCTATGTACATACAACAACCATCCGATCACACACGGCAAGGAAGTAACTGGAAACCTTCCCATCACAGAATGGCTACGGGCCTGGGATCCTTTCCAGGAGACAGTACAGATGTTTTTTCCATTCACGAATATCATACGGACCTGGGCGTCACCTCTCCGAATCTACGGGCCGATGACCTCTCACTGTTTATGCATCCTCAAAGGCACTAACATACGGGACACTTAGACTAGGGTTCTCACGCATACATCATTTTTCAAAACAAAGCATTTATACGAAATATTAAGTGCGATAAATATGGAATACATCATAAATGTACCCACCTGATAGCAGCTACAGTTCAAATCACAAATCTCGAGACGAGGCGAGGTTCAACACCTCTCGACACCTACATTAAGTCCAGATACTAAAGTCAACACTTTAATCTAGACCTATGTAGAAAATTCACAAATTGACTTAGCCGAACTCGGTTCGACCAAGTGGTTCGTGAAGTTCTGTGGATATGGGAACACTAGGACTTAGGCTCGATCAAACCACATGATCAAGTTCACAAAAATGCAAGTGAAAGACAGACAAACGAGCCACAAGTAAACACATGGCACATTTGTCAACAACACTTAACAAATTTCAATATAGAAAAACAATTTCTCAATTTCACACTTGAATTAGAAGGTGTATCAAATCAAAGAGTTAGGTTCTGAAAATTTTACATAAAATTCACATTCCAGTTCTAAGTAAGATTACCCAGTTTCAGCTTCAAACTCCTTATGCGTAATTTTATAAAATTCAAACAAGGTTTTCAACAAAAATGGGTTTAAATTTAAAGCACATGATAATGGACGATTCAGGCTATAAAATTTTTATCTAAAATACTACAGCATGTGAAGAGTAACAAATAAATTTATCAGCCTTCAACACTCAGTATATCAATTTATAAAATTAAAACAACATTCAGCCAAATATCGCAATTATATCAAAACGGATTGCAACTGAACTCCAAAAATTCTAAACGTTTTACAGCATGTTAAACATCACATAATCAGCACTTCCACAAATTTTCAGAATTTTTCAACCTCAGAATAATTTATCATAATTAAAATAAATTCTGGCAAAATAACAAAATAATTTGTTAACCCTATCAAACCTAGTTAAAAAATTCTACACATTTTACAACACATATAATCATGCCTGAAACATAACATACTCGAAAATTGGCCAGAAAAGAACACTGCACAATTACTTATGCATTTTACAAGAAACTAAACAGAAAATAATTTAATTTTTAAAAATAGCTAAACACCTTTAAAAATCACGAACATTTTACGGCAGCTACATATTCATCAAAAACGGATGCTCCTAAAATTTCAAGGATATCGGACTAGTATTCGATTTATAGTGAATTTTTCATTCGAAACAGCCAATAAGAACTTCGAAAAATCATAACGACAATTATACACCTCCAATCGACACAAGGTCAGCGCCCTTGTGTTCGAAATAATCCTAAGTTCCTAAATCCACAGAAACTAATCACGCACGACCAGTTCTCGCTCGATTCGCACGAATTGTCGAGTTACATATCAAAATTACGACAATATAATATAATGATCGATAATATCACATAAAATCATATCGCTTCTCAATTCCATATAACATGATAACAACACCTAAACACATAAATCGCGAACAACACGACACATAATCGCCGAATAAAAAGACGAAGAGTCGAGACTCGATACCGTTCTCGGGAATCGGGCGAGAAGGGTTCGAACGGGCTCAACGGCAAGCGTCGTCTCGGGAAAGCAGGACGAGGTACTGAACATACAGCGTTGCGTTCACACTTGAATTGATTAATTACGAGGTACTGAACATACAGCGTTGCGTTCACACTAGGGACGGTACCGTACAGCGTTGCGTTCACACTTAAATTGGTTAATTACGGTACCGTCCCTAGTGTGAAAACAATTCAAGCAGGACGAGGTACTGAACATACAGCGTTGCGTTCACACTAGGGACGGTACCGTAATTAACCAATTCTCTAGGACGAGGTACTGAACATACAGCGTTGCGTTCACACTTGAATTGATTAATTACGATACCGCCCTAGTGTGAACGCAACGCTGGAATTCCCTAGGACGAGGTACTGAACATACAGCGTTGCCTTCACACAAGCAGGACGAGGCAACGCTGTATCTTCAGTACCTCGTCCTGCTTGTCCCTAGGAGTGTGAACGCAACGCTGTATGTTCAGTACCTCGTCCTGCTTGTCCCTAGTGATACTGAACATACAGCGTTGCGTTCACACTAGCTCGTCCTGCTTGTCCCTAGTGTGGACGAGATACTGAACATACAGCGTTGCGTTCACACTGGAGACGGTACCGTAATTAACCAATTCAAGTGTGAATGCAACGCTGTATCTTCAGTACCTCGTCCTGCTTGAATTGCGTTCACACTAGGGATGGTACCGTAATTAACCAATTCAAGTGTGAACGCAACGCTGTATGTTCAGTACCTCAGCTGCAGCGGCTGAGAAGCCGCTTTCCGTACTCGAGGCGTACAACGCCTCTTTCCGTATTCAGAACTCGAGGCGTACAACGCCTATTTCCGTACTCAGAACCTCGTACGGTACTATCAAGGTCGTCACTCATAACCATTGCTATAAGCGCACTTTCTTATGGTAAGATATTCCACCCGATACACCCATCGAGTACACCAGACTCAAAACCAGTCTCTCAGGGTCTCGACAGCATGTCCTAAACGCATAACTATCTGGATTTCTACGCGGTGCCAAGTTCAGTCTCGTGACCGGGTAACGTTGACAACTTGCCCACGATCACAACGTGATTCGTGTGTCCGTATCAAACGGGCTGCCACGGGATCTCATACAAAAAGGCTAACAAAGCAACAATAACACCACAACTCAACACTGATACCTACAGAAGCCACGGTTCTGCTCGATATCGGTGACAAAGACTCATTCCCTGCCGACACGAGTAACAGCTCGTATGCGGTATAGGAAGTATCGACTAGATATTCGAAAACAACCACTATCGCAGAAACTGGCTCTCAAATAGGGATGCTCGACGATCCCATTATAACGATCTAAAAGACATGGCCAGTCCGGGGTTTAATGCACTGTCACCCGAGAGATGTCATACACACTGGCGCTGCATAAGCGGGGCACTGGGACGTGTGCCTACATCTGTTCGGAGAACAGCTGTAAGGTCAAGGTTTCGGCCAAACACTGGCTTGGGGAGCTCCTGCGTTCGGTGATGGTGGTTGCAGCTCTCGTGCGAGTCAACGATCGGCCCTGCAGTGCCTCACGTCTCTCAGCACAGGCTCTCGTGCTCGACCACCACTTCGCGTGACTACACCCAGTCAGTGTCGGCGTTCGGTTCGAGATACAGAAACGAATTACTCTAATTCAAGGCTCGCACTATCTGAGGTAACCCGAAAGGAAAAAGGTTTTCACAAAACAAGGAAACATTAGGGTTCAACAAAGACATTACCCCCAGCATTTAGGTATTAACAAACTCGAAATGTTCAGGGTTTTCAAAACATCACATCTAAAGAAAGAGAATATCGACATCCTCAGCTAGGAATCATCCCCAACTCAGTGGTCATTGTCGAACAATGAAAATGATCAGCTCGCATGACTCTTCCGACTAACAGTGTCGGCTGTCACGTCAGCTAGCTAAACATGCCGGTAGTCCTAAACGAGCTCAATCTCTACTCTACTAAGATTTTCACGTTTATGGATCTCATCACGAAGCCTCCTTGGTTGATTCGTCTCGATCGCGTCTCGAATATAGGTCATCAACAATAAAAAAAAATAAAACACGACTATTCGATCCGGATATGAATGAAGTACCCAGATTGAAATGGCATCGCCAAAATCGAAAGAAACGATATAAGACAAGCCGTAAAACGAAAGTACTTGTCTTAATTAATATATAAGGTTGCAATTTCTCAAATGAAGACTCCAAACAAATCAAATACTAGAGTTTTCAGAGGGTC